TTATAGTCATAAACCATTAACCTGTGCTCTTTCATAACTTTAACTAACATTGTTTCTTTTATATTAGGTTTAGTTAGTAGTAGAGGGGGAGTTTTTTGAGTCAATCAGGGATAGTATGGAACTCTACCATGCTTCTAATTGGGGAATTAATATTCAAAATAATAAAACAAAAATACAGTCATCTACTAGTGCAGGGTACTCCCTGTTATTTTTGTCTACATTTACTAATTTGGTAAAGAGAAATGTTTCTAATTTGGGCAACCTGAATCTAATTTTTTAATATATTAGGGGAAAATACCTGACAGACCAGCAAGATGGCACTTGCATGCATGGCTGGTCTCATGGACATGCATAAGAGGACAATACATCTTCACCTTCATGAGATGTGACCAGGCAGAGAAACCCCAAGTCCTTGTTAATTAATGTATTATCATTCCCAAAGGACAGGTATCACTTGGGTAGAAAAAACATTCTTCACTTCCTTTAAGTTTTAAATCTATTATTTGTATCTTTCTTTAAAAACAGCCCTTATTTAAACCGGGCATGGTGGCACATGCCTGTAATCCCAGTAGCTTGGGAGGCTGAGGCAGGAGGATCACAAGTTTAAGGCCAGTCTCAGCAACTTAGTGAGACCCTGTCTCAAAAGTAAAAAATAAAAAGGGCTGGGGTTGTGGCTCAGTGGTTAAGCACTGGAGTTCAACCCCTGTTACCAAAAACAAACAAACAAAAACTATCCTTATTTGGGTGACTTTAGAAAGTCTGAGGCTCAAAATGAAAAATTTTATACATTAGGTTTATTTAAAAATATCTGACTTGAACTTATAATACTGGTATAAATATTCAGTGATATTTTGTTATACAGTCACTAAGGAGTGAAGGTAATTTCTATAATCTATTTATTTGATTTGCATTAGTGTACCATTAAATATTATCAGAATTTTACCACTAGGACATTCTAGGAATTTATCACTCAGATACAATAATAAATTTCGCTTTTAAAGAAAATTTTTATTTTTGTTCAATTCCTAGTCAGTAGACATTCCTTCATTATTTCAATAATTAGTCCTAAGGACTCTTAAAATAAAAAGGTAAAGGGAAAAAAAGCAATTTAGACAGTTTCCTGGATTTTGAGAATAGGTAAATAGGTCTCCCAAGAAATTTTTATTAATAAATACATGAATAAAATATGTTTTGGTTTTATTGACTCTAATTTTTTTAAAAAAATAGTTTCTTATACTGACTCTGAATATAAATATCCTTCTTTCTATTTTCACTGGTTAGCAAACATAAAATAGAGAACAAAATAAAGATCATTTGAGAAAAATTATGCCATGAATTAAAACAGGAGAAAGCCACATTACATTACCCTTCAGCCTTCAAAAGACAAGTCTACTACTTTTCTAAGCACATTCAGTTAGTTGCCTAAGTAATGGCATATCCTCATAAGTCACAGCTGATTAGACTTTCCCTTCCTTAAACACAAACAAATCTCTGGATGTTTAATGGGGCATTTGGAAGACACACATACTTGCATGGGGCAGGAGAGGGAATTTTATAAAGTTTATAATTTTATAAAATTTTATCCTGTGCCTAGACACCTATATAAGACCAATGAACTATTTATTTACACTTCAGTGCTGTAAGGCATGTATTATTGCAAAAGAGTGAATTAAATTTAGCCCTATTATTTGTGTAGTAACTGAATCAAACAATGCATAGAAATTTGCTTTGCTACTTATTACTATCTTGCTGGAGGGAGATATTGTAAATAATGGGTTTGAGGGGCTGGGGTTGTGGCTCAGTGGTAGAGCGCTCGCCTCACACATGTGACACTCTGGGCTTGATCCTCAGCACAGCATATAAACAAACAAACAAACAAATAAATAAAGGAAGGTATTGTGTCAACCACAACTAAAATAAATGAATAAATAAATATAATGGGTTTGAAATGCAGATGAAGACTTAGATTTGTTACCTTAGTGAATCCCCTAAAAACAGAATCATATTAATATTTTCAGGTGAATAAAAATAAATTATGTGTGGACATTAAGTACTATCCATACTCCTACTACTAATAAATCAATAACAGCAAGAAATAGCAACTTTCACTTATTAGCCATTTGCCATAGGCCAGACCCCAGGCTTTAGCTTTGTGGCAGATACTACAGACACTAAGATTGGATCTCTCTTCCTCTCCATCATCCTTGTATTTGGTGGCTACAAAGCAACAAACTACATTTTCCAGACTTCCCTTACAGCTAGGGCTCATGCTACAAATTAGACTCCACCAACAGGCACTGTGTGAAATCTGGAAGAGAAAGGCCCAAGGCCATCTATCTTTGGCCATGAATGTTGGCAAGCAAGCCCGGAGAAGATGCAGCTGTCCAGGTCTCTATACCACTCTCAAGGCTATGAGAGGCAGTTATACCAGCAGTCGTAGCTGAGGTGAAAGCAAGAATAACTGCAGAGCTCTGGATCACAGTTATAGCAATGTGAGGATGCATTCAATGTTCCTGAAGCAGTCTGGCCCTTTCAGTGACTTTCCTTGTATATATAAATTCCTTTCTTAAGTAGCTAGAGTGATTTCTTTCTTCTGCATTGAACTCTGATGATAGAGTCCTCCATATATGTTGCCTTATTTAATTCTTACTGTGTAATGTAATTACTTCAATTCTGTAAATTGGGAAGATGAGTCTAAGAAAGGTAATTTTCCTTAAGTCACAAAGTTGGTGGTAGAGACTCTGGGAATTGAACACAGGTAACCAGACTCTCAAGCATATGCCCAGAATTGCTATACTTCTGGACTTCCCCCTCACTTTAGTTTCTAATGGATGCTATAAGAAGCCAATTTGGCACAGTGAGATCTAAACTCAACTTTAAACTTTTACCTTTGGGCTCAAGTTCAAACCAAGTAAAAGTAATTAAAAGCTCAGTTAACTTCCTGTACTCATCACTTCTGCAAACTTTGGAGCAACCTAGAAATGCTAGTCTTGCAATTATTTCAACTTATCCAGGAAAAGGTAAAAAGTTTTATTCTGGGAATTGGTTTCTCAGTTTTTAAGCTTCAAATTTTAGAAAAAAGGATGCTTAATAACATGGAGCAATAATTTATTAGTCATCAAAAATGTATTTGTTTATATAAAAAAGGGAAAAAACTCTTGGAACTCTGATAATGATCAATCACACTGATTACAAAGGGTATAGCATGTGGCATAGTAGAAAAACCCAAGAATACTGATTGATTTTGTATACCCAGCCACATGATCATAGGTGACCCATTTTTCTACTTTGGGTCATGCTCTACTCATTGATAGAAACAAGGGGGTTGAATTAGGATTTCAGTTATTCAAAACCTAGAATCAAGAAATGTTAGTGCAAAAACAGGGATTACAGCAGAGCTTCTCCACCTCTGTCACCTCCTGGCACACCTACAAAATGCTAATTCACATCTGGCATGCTGGGGCCACACAGGGAGCAGTTCAGGGTTGAAGCTGCTGCCCTAGGTCTCAGGGTTAAGTTCTCAGCTCCTTTGTGGGGAAGCCTGAGAACTACAAGTTCTGTCTCATCATCTTCCACAAGAGAAGCTAAAGCACAGACACAATTTATACACTTATACCAAGCTCTAAATTAAAAGGCATGATGTCTGTATTTTCAGTTGCTACACTAATATGTTATTTAAAAATTCTTCCCGACTTGACCCTCTTTGGTCCATTTCCACACATTAGCCAGTCATATCTCTTAGAAAATACAAACCTGACCATGTCACCACCCATTCTCCCACTGATGGCCTAGCCTCCATCTCGCAGGGTCACCCCACTCTGTCCTCCCCGCTGCCCTGTGCTCTTTGCTTCCCTTCCTAAAGGAAACATTTCCCTCAATCAGTTTTAGAAGCCGCCATTCTCTCTGCTGGAGAGCTTTTATCTCCTTTCCCAGCTGACACTCACTTCTCCAGGTCTCAGTCCAAGTGTCACTTGCTCAGGAAACTCTCCCTCATCCCCCAGCTACACCAGGTTCCCTATCACGTTGTTCCTCCTCTTACTACAAGGCACTAATCAGACTCATTCCTTTTGGTGATAATCTGATGAAGGTCTGCTTTCTTCATTGGAATATGAACTCTGGACACGGGTATGTCTCTTATTCACCAGTCTCCTCAGAGCCTACACAGTGTCTGGTTTTAAGTGTTCAGTGAATGAATTTATGGTTTTGATTTGGCCAAATAATTCTTCCTAGAACTTTAACCTGTTGAACAGATATATGTGTATCAAATTTCTTATAATATGAATATATTGAATAATGCTTTACTTCATTCTAACTAGTGGACAATATGGTATTCTTTACTTTTGCAGTGCTGGGAATTGAACCCAGGGCCTGGTGTGTGTGAGGCAAACACGTTACCTCCTAGTCACATCCCCAGCCCAGGGGCTTTCCAGTACAGCCTTCTGAGGCTTTCCAGCACACATATCATTCCCTCTGCCTGGAACATCACTTTCCTTTTTCTTGTTTTAAAAATGTGTCCTCAATTATGTGCAGCAGATCTCCTATCTTCCTGGAGCCTCATCTGATTCTCATGCTAGGAAATGAGGTATTTATACAGGTTCCAAGGTTCTAGTGATACCTGGTGAAGATCAGCCTTCTACTACCTACTCCCTGATGTGAAAATTACCAATTTCAATAACAATCTTTCCTAGAGACCACTAAGTTCTTTTAGAGTAGAGACTGTGTGTTAAATAGTGTCTCAAATAGTGACTGGTACAAACAGGCCTTCAATAAATACATGTTAACCTAAGAAGGACCAAAATGAACAGTGCGAGGAGAGCCAAGGGAATGTACAGATAACATCTCTCAACTTTGAGAAGACAAACTGGCATATGAGAGAGTAAACTTAATACTTGTGTTAAGTGTCAACAAAGGCTGTCAATACAGAACAAACAATAAAGTTATTTAGCCCCTAGCAAAATGAATAAAAATATATTAGTCCAAGTTTTCAATATCACCATGGGTTTCTGTGAACAGTAGAGCAATAGATTCTTTATTAAAATAATTTGAAGGCAATACTCAGAAAATCTACAATGACAATGACCTTATAGAAGCTATGTTGTGTGCTACTGAGGTACATTTTATAGTTCTCTTTGCCTTGTGCCTAGTAAACAGCAGATCTTTAGCTTTCAGATGGTGATTATACAGTAACCAGAAAGTTAATGTGTAACAAGGAAAGGGGAGAACTTTGTACAGAAAATTATGTACATTGATATTTCAAGCAAAAAAAAATATTATTATTATTATTATTTTGTTTTAAACCAGCATGACTGTGATTCCTTTACCCAGAATAAGCTACTTGCAACTCCAAGGTTGAAACCAAAAGGGACCAGTACTGATCATTAGAAGGGTTACCATTCGTTACATAACCGACTATGAGCTGAGGCTTTTACAGCGTGCCTGGAGAGAACCCAATGAGAATCCTGTTTCCGCGGACTTTGGCACTTCCTCCCTCAGGCCAGATTCATCTGCTGTCTTTAGTGATGGCACAGAAAAGCAGGTGATCAGCAGCTTCCCTGGAAGAACACTTCTTCAAAGCACCTACTAAGAGCCCACATACAGCCTCATTCTAGCCCCAACTCCCACTAGGGCCTGCAGAGATGAGAAATATCGCTGAAGGAGTAGACAGTTCTGTATAGAAGATGACAGAGGCAGTAAAACAGATTGAAAGCCACCAAACAAGAATGTCTCCCATGTTGTTGACCTGTATTGAAAAGCAAAACCATAGAATTATATAGGAAAATTGATTTTTTTAAACTCCTGGAAAGGATCCAACACAATCATGAGTACACAGTACATAGAGATAGGAGAGAAAATGTGGTGAAATATGAGGGTACAGTAGCCCTGGGGGAACAAGAAAGAGTAAAATGGAGAGATACAGCATTCAATATTGTTAGGTCGGGGGACAGTACACTTCACATTTGTCTCAAGTCAGTTTGTGGCTTTTCAAAGAATCAGCCATAATCTCCAAGGCTGACTTCTGAGCCTCTGTCCACACTGTGGGAGGCAGTGTGGATGCTGCTTGACCTGTAGTAATTCACATAGGCATCCATATACACTAAGAAGAAAAGAATGTGCTCATCAGTGACTATAGATGACTCACCAAAAGAGAAAAATCCTTTGGAGGATGAAATAATTATGCAACAAAATGGAGTGGCATGCCCAGGAGACAAGAGGATGCGCATGTTGCTTGATGACCAGTGGCCTCTTCCCAGGGGCTAAACCATGGGAGCACCATCAAACCCAAGAAATAAAATCTTTAAGTATATTTCAAAAATTTCCAACAATCAAAGCCAATAACTGTCACTCCATGTAAAACAGAGATACAGAGACACTGGCTCTCGCCTGCCTGCTCCATTCCTCCCTTCCTTCCATCTGTCAATAATCAATCAGGTCACTGATAATAAGGTGCTTTGCCAATACCTCGGGACAGAAGCATAAGACATGATCCCTATTCTCCAGAGGATCATACTGAAGGGAGAACAACACAGAAACAAGAAATGATTTTCAAGATACCAAATGCTTTAACAGATGCATGTACGGGCACAAGGACAAAGAGGTGTAAAAGCACTCTGATTGTGTTAATCATGACACGCTGCCACTGAAATGGCAAATGGGAACATGCTGTCATGCAACAAACACTGACTGCACCCCCATGACAGGTGAGCACAACGACACAGAGAAGAATCCTTCATGATTATGGGGGGTCCCCAACCTCTTCTTATGCCTCGGAGAGTTCAAAGACTGTAGTGGTCCATCACTGAGGAAATACTGAGGGATAACTGATTTTATATTTTTCATTTAAAACAGATGAGTTAGTGAACAAAAATATTAATAAGAATAAAACAGAAGTAAATATCCAATCATCCTAGTTATATTTGAGGGAGGCCAAATATTCTGGTTGCATATCCTGTAATACCTTCCCCTGACTTAACTTCTCTACTCTACATCCCATTCTGTCATGAACTCAAGAGACTGTACTTGGAGGGCAGTGAAATGACAGTGCATGTTCTGGGCCAGGCTGCCTGGGTTCAAGTCTCTTCTGCTAGTTTCCCACTGAATGACTTTGGACAGTTGCTTCACATTTCTGTACATTAGCTATTCGTCTGTAAATGGGATGACCACATGTACTTCATTAGGTTTTCAAAGAGTAATATAAGTTAGTGCATATGAAACACTTAGGACAATGTTTTGTACAAGCTAGTTAATATTGCCACAGTATATTAAAAATACAAAAGCAATAAGCAGGTGCTATAAAGAAATTAACACAAATAAATCCTATAGCAGAGCTATCTTAAATTTTGCCACAAACATGACTATATTCAGGTCCTATGATATCAAACATGTATCTCATGAGATTTAAAACTACCAGCCATGGTGGTTTGAACCATTTATTCCTTCATTGAGAGAAAGTGTGACTTCGCTGTGGACAAGACGCTTTGCAGATGTCAATGAGATGCTACCTTCGTAGCTAAAAGAATGCTCAAGTCATAGGCAAGCAGGGAGCAGCAGCTGTTATCATTTCTTTCACAATTATTTCACAGGTAGCTATCTACATAGAATTATCTTCTATGTGGTGGTGGGGGCGTTTGACATTTAAAGACCAAAGTTCTTTCAAGTTTGTTTAAAAGCTACCCTTAATCTTCAAACCTTCTCAGTACATTTGTTCTAGGAGACTCTGGGCCTATGTTTTCTTTCTGTTACACTATTCCCATTTTTTTTCTGGTTAAAACAGAAATAGCCATTACTGTCTAATAGACACAGAACAGTCAGTAGTGAGTTTAACAATTTTCACTCTGAAATCAAAGTGGGAGGCACTAATATTTTATGAATGAAAAGGAAGGCGGGTCTGGCTAGGTCAATGTTTTATTTTCCATTCTATGTCTTCTCTAATGATTTAATCTGTCACCTGAGAGTTATTTATTATCTCAGCAAATGCTTAGTCACTGGTTAAAAAATGAAGCAGTGTGAAGATCCAAGGCAAGAATTCAGGGCCACATGACAAGAGCCAAGGACAGTGAATGTTCTTTCATCTTCCTGGGCACTTTTCAGAGCCAGGGAGGGAAGCCCCAGGGCACCTCCATGGTTCCCAGTGTTAATGTGTATCAGGGTGGTTGGGCGAGGAGACCAGATCTTGAGTTAGGGCACTGTGCCACCCTTCCTAAGATATGATTAGTGCCACACCCTATCCATGCACCACACTGGCACCTCTTCTTAGTTATTCCTTTCTACAAGGTGCCATACTCACCACGGGCTCTATCAGAGCTGTGTGGAAGTTCTTTCAACCTCAGAACTGTCAGCTAAAATCACTAGGGAGCATATTTACTTATTAGTTGTAAAATATATTTAACTCAGGTTAATATTTGGGTTATGCATTTCTGTCTACTGGCAGAGGATTATATGTGGATGAAATAATCTTCTCAAATTTAGACTACATAGATCTGGCACGACAGTCCTTAAACTTCTTTCTAGTATATGACTTTGAGTCCCTTCATGATTCTTAATCACCTTCATTCAATTACAAAATACTTGTCTTAATCTTGTTGCAAATATTTTCAAATTCAAGAATCTAAGGAGTAACTAATCTGTTTGGATCCTTATCAAAAAGATGTATTTTGGTGAGTAGTATGCAACTAACAGATAAACAACTGCTGGTACTGCTCTGGATTTCAAGTGCTCTTGCTAACCTTTTAATTTCTCTGTTGTGGAAAATTATGTAGAATTGATCATGGTGGCACATGCCTGTAATCCCAGTGATTTAGAAGTCTGAGGCAGGAGGACTATAAATTTGAGACCAACCTGGACAACTCAGTGAGACCCTGTCTCAAAATAAGAAAAATACAAAGGGTTAGGGATGTATGGCTCAGTGGTAGAGTGTTCCAGAGACTAATTCTCAGTACAGCAAAAAACAAAAACAAGAAAGACTTGAGATAAGCATTCCGTGGTAGGGACAGAACGACATTTTGACTGTGGTGTTTAACAAGCGATGGGAAGTTTTGCTTCTCCAGACACAGCATGTATTCCCACTCCCTCCCTGACAGCTCGGCTGGCTTTTACTCTCCAATCTCGGCTGCCTAAGGAAATCATCCATGAATTCAATTTGCTGCCAGGTGATAGGAAATAGAGTTTCACCAAAAAAAGAGAGCTTGGAAAGAAGAAAACAACATACAAGTGGAGCAAGTTCAGCCCACTGTGGCAAGGAGGCTGGCACCTGGGTTGTTGGCAAGGGAATGTGGCTTGTGTTTCCATCACTGAAGGCTATACTAAAAGAATAAAAAGCCCCTTTATTTCTTCTAAAAACATATTATTTGAAACCAGATCTGTGTGTACTTTGTATGAGGCTGAATCTGACAGTGTAATTTTACTTAGAGTTTAACCTGAGCTGGGATGACATTTGTGGAAGAGCCTGGCAGGCCTGACATGTGACAAGCATGCCATAAAAGTTAAAGTGTTTCCTTTGACTCTAATATGTTTATTTTTCAATGAAAAGACCAAGAATTGTTAATTATTATGATAGTAATTATCATTAACCAAAATTTAATTGAACACTTCCTGTTCTTATTGATTCACCTATTATCAACTAACTTATATCATACCACAATCACTTGAGATAAGTACTATTATTATCCTTACCTTAAAGATGAGAGAATCAAGGCACAAGAGTTGAATCAACTTACTCGAACACCTAGGAAGTGGCAGACTTCAAGCCAGACAATCTAGTTTTGAATGCACTGGCTATTCCGAAAGTACTTAGCCCAGTGCCTGGCATAAAGTGAGCACTTATAATTATTATCATTATCATTTCTTTGAATAGTTCTGGACTAAAGGGGTGGTGAGCAATAAGCAAAAGATTCAAGGTCACTTTTCTCATAGGGCACAGAAGTTAGTGGAGGAGATGAGCATTATTCAAGAATTATATTTATAGTAGAAATGGATACCTTTAAGCGGTGTTTTTTAAATGGTTCTCAAGACTTCTTAATGAAGGACTGCAGTATCTGCTCCCGTCACTACGATTACCTGTTCACCTTAAACTCTGATGCATGGGCAAAGTTTTGGGAACTCTGTTTGCAATCAGGCCATTGCTCTGTCAAGTATCTTTGATGGCTTCCTGTTTTCTAGAGTCATAGCAGCCACTGTGTGTTGTACATACCCATAAACTCATGTCCCTTAATATGGCAGACCTCCTATAAACCATCATGGAAAAACTGTTTAGTTGTGGTTTTAGCAGCTTATGAATAAATTAAGAATTGGCATTCAAATGGAAACCATTTTGTCCTATTGGTCCTAATTTTCTAGAAAAAAAGCATGTTTTGGACTTAGCAGATTTGGGTTTGAAATTTATCATTACTCGCAGTGTGATCCTGGTCATGAGAGCTTCAATCACGTTATGTATAAAAAAGGAATAACAGGAGCTACCCAGTAGGGATTTTGAGCACAGTAGCACAGTGCCTGGTATGTATCACTGAGGAATCTGAAGCTGTTATTATCATCACTATTATCCTAATGTTCATTATTATCATCAGAAAGAAACATTCAACATTAGCTGCCAGGTTTTCTTCTTCTCTGTGTATGAAAATTGCCTTATTCCTCCAGGCTGCTTCCAAGTGCCATTTCATTAATGAACATTTCCTGGTCCCTTTGACCATAGACACATGGCTCTCCATCGCCTCTTATGCTGAGTATCTATTTCTGACACGTCACCAT